CCAATCCTTTCATCGGGCCTTGTTTTTTAAAAAGGATAATGTCCAAAACTCCCTCCCATCTCTCACCAAAGCTCCTCTGCAATGGCTGAGCGCCAGGTAGACATGGGCTGGGGTTTCTCCCCATCTTCAACTCATATATGTCTCAAATAAAGCAGGTAGGTCTGACCATTGTCCAGATATAAAGGCTGGCTACACATTTCACGTACATATGCAGAAGTTATTTTCACAAGTGTTAAGTTTCCTTTCCTTATATCACAAAGCAAGAAGTTACTGATGAGTCATATAATGGTACATACTTATATTTTAGCATCTATTAGATGCTTAATACATACATAAACATAGTGCTAAGTTTGTTCATTTGATTATCTCACAACCTCTTTGGGAAATAGGAATTATTATCTCTATTTCATAGACAAGAAAAGTAAGCAAAGAGTAATTTGCTCACAGGTATACAACAGGTTTCACCGTGGGGAGATAAACTTCGAGTGCATTCCCTGTTTCCTTTCCTAGCTTCCAAATGCCACCCATTCACTGGTACATTTTTGGAGCCTTTTCAGTTGATAAACCTTAAGATCTCAACAGATGCAAACACCAGACAACCATTATTGAAGGTGAGTTCACAATCCAAAATTACAGGCGCCACAAAGCAAAAGCCATAACAAGAAATCCAGCTGGTTCAACAAATGAAAGACTTCACACCCTCAAAACTAGAGATAACAGAAAATTCTGAAAGAAATGTTAATATCGGAATATTTTTTAAAAACATATTTTTATTGATTTCAGAGAGGAAGGGACAAAGAGAGATAAACATCAATGATGGCTGCCTCCTGCACGCCCCCTACTGGATATGTGCCCTGACCGGGAATCCAACCATGACCTGGTTCACAGGTGGACACTCAATCACTGAGCCATGCCGGCTGGATCAAAAAGGTTTTTCTACATGTGACTTCCAAAGGGAATATGGATGGGAAGGAAAGGGGCATGAGGAAAGCAGACCTGCTGTTAATTGCACATTATCTCTTCTCATCCATTTGACATTCCCATCTCCCTACAAGCAAGAAAGCTGGAAAACAGAGCTTACTCAGTGTCCAGGAAGAGAGAGGTCTATTCCATGAGCACTGAGTCAGCCTGGACCACAAAACTCTTGCCCCCCAGTGTATTGCTCTTTTGGTGCACCTCATACTTCCCGCTCTCTCATTCTTGGTTTCCTCATTGGACTCCTCTCAGTTCATTATGTCCATGTGGGTGCTGCAGCCCCTTCACGCCTCATTGCACATGTTCTCTTTGGAGAAGCACAGTCATAGCCATAATTTCGGATATGTCTGTCTGCTAAACAGCAACAGTTGGATTTCCCAGGTGCATCTTAAAATCAACACGTCCAAAAACAAACCCACCATCTTCCCCCACAAAATCTCTTCTTCCTTCTCTGTTCCCTATTTCTGTGCATGATACCACCATTCTCCCAGCTGCCCAAGCCAAAAGCCAGGGCGTCTTCCTCACCTCCTTCCTTTCTCTCCCTTCCTACCTCAGTTTGATCAGAAGCCGGCCAGTTCTGTGCAGGAGCTGCTCCTCATCCCTCCAGGCCCACTGCCTGGTGCACACCTTCAGCCTTCCTGCGGGACCCTGAGACAGTGTCCTAACCCGTGTCCCTTCCCCGGCTCCTCACCCATCACATTCATCTTTCTGAACAGAAAAGGCAGTCATGGCATCATTCCACTGCTTAAAGCCCTCTTGACTTCTCATTAAGGCCAGAATTAAAATAAAACCACTTACCACATACATCGGAACCTTCAAATTAGAATCTGACCACCTATATCCCTCCCCAGACTCACCCCTTGCTAATCTTCAAAACACACTGAAGGCCCCGGCCCCACCAAGCCATTTACATTCCCCCAAATGGGCTGTGCTTTGTCAGTTACAGCTTGGGTTTCCCAGGGCACTGGTTCCTGTGGAGATTCTTTCCTCTGTATCAAAGTCCTCCCTGCCCCCATCACCTCTGCCCCAGAAAACCCCTCTCATGCTTCTTCAAGACCAGGCTTCTCCTTGGGGAAGCTCTTCTCTTGTCCCTCCCAGGGGGCCCATAAAACCCTGCGTTGTAATATTCTCCTGTATCACAGGGATTGTGTTCCGCTCTGTGTGTATAAAATGCCTGCCACACAGCCTGGTACACAGCATGTGCTCGGTAAATTTCCATTCCTTTAAAAGCTGATAAAATGATTTCTAGTTCTTCTACTTAATATGTGATTTTTCAGATAACGTGCTAACACTTTGGAGCCAGGGTTTCCTCTTCTAGAGAATGATGACGATAACTCCACCAAGAATTACTGCTGAGGAAAGTAGGGAATGCAGGTTACCTCATTCAGAACAAATGCCCCAAATGTGTGAACATCCTTTTTTTCTTGCTCCAAACTTGACTTAGACTGAACTTTTCAGGAATGGCTGCCTTTCTATGGGTGGCAGAGGCCACCGTAGCTTCAGCTGGATGAATGCTAATTGTCTGAACACTCCTGGATTCCATCCGGCATGTAGGTGCTTAGAAGTCACCACTCTGTCCTAACAACAAGTAAAAAGCTGAACAAACTGAAAAATCCACAATTTTCAGGTCTGTCAGAGAAGTGAGGCCACAAGGCAAACCACTACACCAAAAGTCGGCAATAAGGCAGACTCAGAGAATCACACCTTATGGGAACAGAAACCCACAAACAAGAATCTCCACGGGAACCAGGGCCCTGGGAAACCCAAGCTGTAATTGACAAACTGCCAGAGGCTCCTATGGGCAGTTCTGAGAGTTGAAAACTCCAGGAGGCCCAGGTAGAGAGGTACCCAACACTCTGTGAGTTTCACCTCCAGGACCTTGACCAGGTCCCCACAGTGTCAGAGAGAAATCTCCTTGTGCTTCAGGCAGCAGGAGGGAGGGAGGAACCTTTTTCAAATACTCAGAGCACTCTCTCCTTCCTAACAAGGGCTGCTCTCAGGAGAAACTATTCCCAGGACCTCAGCTGCTGGGCTTTCATCGGAACCTAACCACCTAGGAGAAAGGAAATACCAATTCCTTCCACCTCCAGCCATTCTG